CTTACCCATCTGCTGGCCAGACAGGAGGAGGCCGTGGGTGAACGGGGCCCCACAGACTTCAGGTCCCAAGCCCGGGGACTGGGGGACCGTCCCCTTCAGTGGGAAAGTTGTTGCAGGTGTGATTACACTAGGACGCTGGGATGAGGCCACGCTGGGTTACCCCGCGGCCGTCCTGGGGTCCCTGCGAGACACTGAGGAGGAGAAGAGGCCATGTGACCACAGAGGCAGAGGTTGGAGTGATGCCGTCACAAGCCCAGGGACTCTGGGAGCCCCCAGGAGCTGGAAGGATCCTCCTGGAAGCCTCCGGAGGGAGCGCAGTCCTGCTGACACCTTGCATTTGGGGTCGGGCCTCCAGAACCATGAGAATAAAGTCTTGTTCTTCCGAGCGGCCAGTGTGGGGGGACAGCGGCCACAGGAAGCTAATACGTGGGATGAGGCTAGCCCCAAGGACGCTCAGTGATGCTCAGTGAGGCATGAAGTCCAGTCCTGGAGTTGCCCACCCCGCCCCCGGCACCACGAGGGGGATGGCTGTGTGACCCCAAAAAGCTCCTGCCCTCCAACACCCCGGCCACTGAGGCAGGAAGGGAAGTGCTGGGGTCTTTGGTTCCACAGGAGGCTGGACAACAGCCCTGGGGTCCTTCCCGCTCACACGGAGCCTGTGAACTTCCCACTGGCCCGAGAGGCTGGGAGGGGCCCCGGGGACCCTCCTGCCCCCCACCCCGGGCCGCGCCACAGCAGAGCACCACCAACAGCCCGCCCACCCCCCGGCTCTGCCCAGGAGGGGCCCCAGGCTCCAGAGGCCCATAGGTGGTGCTGTCGGGGCTCCCAGGACACTGGGCCCCTCGGGGCATGCTCCCCATGACCGTCAGTAACGGCTCTGTCCCCGCACACCCTGCCTCGTGGGCCCCTCCCATCCGTGAGCGCCCGCTGCCCCCTTGAGTCCGTGGCCCACCGGCCTCTCTCCTCTGCAGCTTCCTCCGCCCTAGCGGCTGTTCTGTGGGGCCTAGATCGTTCCCCAGCTCCATGACCCCAGCCCCAACGCTCCTGAGTACTGGGCCCAAGTCATCTCCCAGCCAAGACTCAGGCACTCAGGCCCCAGCCAGCAGGGGCCACCTGGTCCCCAGTGGTCCCCAGTTCTCAGGCTCCTGCTCCTCACTTTGCCCTTTGCCCTCCATCGGCTCCCCATCCTGGCCTCAGCTTCTGTCCTCCTGCCATTCCTCACCCCCTGACCCCACCTGAGGTCTTTTCAGCCCAAATGGGGCCATTCACCCCTCTGCCTAACGGCCCCCATGGTGTCCTTTGCTCTCAGGCCAAGGCCGCCTTCTGGGCCTCAGCATCACCATGCCCGTCTGCCTCCTCCCCCACCCTGGAACGTGCAGGCTTCCTCCTGCCACAGGCCTCGGGCTCGCGCCCTCCTTCTGCCTAGGACACTCACCCCCCAGCCTATTAGCTCACGATTAGCTCACCGTTCGCGCTCAGCCATATGTCACCTCTTCCAGGAAGCCTTCCCGGATCCCCAGTCCAGGTCAGCTTCCTCGCCAGATGCTCGCTGGGGGGCCCTCGTCCCTTCTCAGCACGTTCCTGTGTGTGATTATGCACAAATTTGGGGGCTGTGATTCACAGGGTGAGGCCGCAGTGACACTGTGCCCCCTCCGTCCCCCATCTAGTGGAGCTCTTGGCCCACTGGGGGTGGGCAGCCACCCTCAGGAGTCGCCATCACCTTTCAGGGTGGGGGACTGGCCCCACGCTCTTGACTGTCCCTGCCCCGCCTGCAAGATGAGGCCCTCTGACCAGCCGAGCCCCTCAAGGTCCAAGTCGGAGGAGGATGCCCACCCATCCAGCCAGGAGCATGAGCCCGTCCCCACCCCAGGAATGCAGCCTGTGACCCTCCCACCTGCCCTCCCTGGGGGGCCCTGACAGCCTGTGGGGGGGTGGGCACGGGAGGAGCCCCTGTGAAAAGAGCCCCCACGGAGCCAGAGAGGGCATAGTGGCCACCTCCAAAGGCGGCTGCCGACAGGTCACTACCAGGCGTCCCGGGGACCCCTCACTCACCACCCAACCCTAGAGGCAGGGCCGTCACTCGGAGACAGACAGGGAAAATGAAGTCCGAGTTGCCGGGCTGCTGGGGCCAGAGCAGCAAGCGACCAGCCAGGCCAGTGCCGGGCGGCCCTGTGTCTGTCCCTGGAGGTCAGGGCCTTCCTCAGGAGGAGGCCCACGTCCCCCCAGGCTGGACCGGTGCTCTGGGGGCAGTCCCTGCCAAGGGCCACTGTGTCCTCTCACCGGAGCCCAGCCAGGCCCCCGGCCGGCCTCTCACCGCTGCCCTGGCCACCATGTCCCAGGCCGGCTTGGCACTTCTCCAGAACGTCCCTGTGGGCACCCCAGTCAGCTGAGCCTCCAGCCACCCTGCAAGGTGGGCAGAGGAATCTCTCGGGACAAGATGCTGGGCACGAAGGCCCTGGGAGGGCCCTGATCCCGCGGGGTCGGCTGGGATTCCCCCTGACTGGCGCGGGGGGGCACTGCAGACACCCCCCATGTCCTTGGGGCCCGCTAGCAGCGCCCGTGGGGCTGGACGCGGCCTAAAGTACAAGCTTCCCCAACTGGTCTCCCTGCCCGAGCTCCAGGCCCACGCAGCCCTCCTCCCAGGGGGCCCAGGTACTGGCGGCCAGACAACCCCCATCAGCATAGCACACACGCTGTGCGGGGCAGCCCCCTGCACCAGACCCTGCGGCCCTGGGCTTGCCCAGAGAAGCCCACCGTCCCCACAGAAGGCAGTTCCCAGTTTCCCCTTCAAGGAGCAGGCCAAGGGCCTGGCCCCCAAACAGCATCACGGACACGTGAAAGCAAACTTGTCCACCAGGAGAGCCCCGCTCACCAGTGCCAGCCTATTAAACACCAGCTGGTGTGGCCCTCAGAGCACAGTCTTCCAACCTCAAAACACAAAACTCAAAAGCCAATCAGGCAAAACCACTTTGTGCTTTGGTGCTAAAAAGATCCAGCGTCCTATGCTCCCAGAGCTCCACGCACTGCTGGGGAAGCATGGGTGCTGCCCAGAGGCCAGAGAAAGAGACTGAGACACACACAGAGACAGAGAGAGAGGGAGGGGGAGAGAGAGAGAGAGAGAGAGAGAGAGAGAGAGAGAGAGAGAGAGAGAGAGCCGGAGG